GTGGGGGTGTAGGCACTGGTGGTGGTGATGGTGGTGGTGTGAGTGTGTGTGGTGGTGGTAGGTGGAGTGTTGGCGTTAGTGGGGTGGGAAGTGGACGTTGGAATTGATGGGATGATAAGGTGGTTATGATGACGGGGAGTCATGGTAGAGTTTATGACGAAGTTGGGGATGCTAACTGTGGCAAGAGTTCTCTGGAACCAGGTGGGATGAGGCTTAGTTGAGAGGTCACATCAACAACCACACTCTACTCACTCCTGGCTCCTACTCGTGCCCTGAGTGGGTCCATCGGGCTAACTAGGTGGTTTGGAGAAAGGCAAGTCAAAGAGAGCAGCCCTCTCCCCACACAAACACACTGGGCCCATGCCAAACACTCATCAGAGAAGTGGTTATTTCTTCCTGGTGAGCACGGTGGTGAAAATCTTGAGTAGCTGTGTACTTCCCAAATCCACCCCCTCAACCCTAATTCTAAAGAGGGGGCTGATCTGGGGGTTCCTCTTTGTTCTTGGTGCAGCCCTCCTCCCCCTCCCCCCCACTTTCTGGTGCAGAACCAGGAGAAGGGCTGAAGCAGCCCTGAGAAGCAGGAGGGCTGGGAAGACAGTGTCTTCACTGGAGCTTCACTGAGGAACCAGGTCCAGGGCTCACACCCAGCTCCACGCTCTCACCTCTGGGGACCAGAGGGGTTTATACCACCTCCAAACCCCTGTCACCCATACCCCTCGACTCTGTGTGATTCCTTATAAGACTCAGAGACTTGGTCCAGGTCACTCAAGGTTGAGCCCCCCCACCCCCTGCCAAGGAGATGGTCCCCAGGACCCTTCACAGCAGGATGTCCACCTCAGCCAGCCAACTGCACATCCCAACAACTCCCTCACACTCCCTGCTCCTTCCATGCAGCGACGGAGCCCCTCCCTCCCCACTCCCTCCACAGGCTTTCTTTCCTGGTCAGAGAGATGTGTTCTAGAAAAACCTAAAATAAATCCTCCATGGCACGCACTCGCATCACAAGCACATGTCCCAGGATTGTAGGAACCTCCTCACTCAGCAGAGGGAAGGCACCAACACTATCTTCTCAGTAAACCTGTGCCCTTCTGTCTGCAGACCCAGAGGCTGCCTCTGTATGACCCAGCATGAGGGTCCCTTCCAAATCCTTTCCGGGTGAAGAGGACAAAGGCCCTTTCTTGGCCGGTGGGATGAGGGAAGGATGCCTGACCAAGGTCTGGGAAGGCAGGGGCTCTGGCTTCTTCAGTCGCATCTACTCTCTCCCCTGACTCTCTTGTCCCCATTTTCCTACTTACCCTTCACAAGCTCCCTCTCGTGGGAGCTGTACCCTGACCCACAAATTTGCACATCACTTTAGAGCCCCTGTTCTGCCCCCCCTCACCTGTGCTCCCAGGATGCCCAGCTTTTACCTGTCAGCCTTGTTGCTGCCACAAAGCCTGTCTCCAGAGATGCTGATGCCCTGGGAAGCATGGGTGAGAGCAGCAGGCACCTCTGTCCCACCCCCACCCCCAGCTTGGCAGGGCCACTCCCCCCAACAACCCCCCCCAGGCACCCTTAAGGGAAGGGAGATCTGGCTTCTGATACCTCCGGTCCAAGGAAGGAGACAGTCCACACCCTAGGACTCGGGTCCTCCCTCCACATGGCCCCATCAGGCCAGATTGGATTGGAGTCAAAGCTAGGGGCAAGGCTTGGGCAGACTTAGACTGTGGGCTCACTGGGTGTGAGGCTGGCCTCACTGAGTGACATGGGACCAGAAGAATGAGGGGTACTCGGCACTGTCAAGCAGAGGACTCTGGGATCCGGCTCCCGCATTGGGGCAGCACACGAATGCTCACTCTACTCACCAGACCCCTCCTGAACAAGAACAGTTTTGCAGAAAAAACTCAGTTAAAGTCAGCCTGTGTCCAGAGCCAGGGCTCAGTCTGCAGTCAGATCAAACTCAGGATGGAATCGGAGTACGACCAGGGTCAGGAGTCAGTCTGCGGAGGGCAGGTGTTCAGTGTGGGGGGACCGGACTGGAATGTGAGCTCCAGCTGGCCTAGATCTGGGCTTTCACGCTGCCCGTCCACCACAGGCTTCTCATCCCAGAACCTGGAATAAGATAGATGGGATATCTGGCCTCAGAACTCAATGGTGAAGTTTCTAGAAGGTCCATACTTCTGGGATGTGATGAGAGTCAGACACTGAGGGCTGGATAGCATCTCTCCTCACAAACTTGCTTTCGCAGACACTTCCCCCCCCAGCCAGGACTCTCCCTGGTCCTCCAGCCCCAGACAATCCTGCCCCCTTTTCGGAGCTTGCCACTCAGGTGGGACGGCAATCGAACCCTGGTTCTAATGGCTGGTTATTATAATAGGGTTAGAATTATGTCCACGGTCTACTTGGATAGGAGTGAAGAGAGGCAGGGACCCCTGACATGGTGAGGCTCATCAGCACCCTTCTCCACACAGCTGAGCACAGTGGGCAGCCTCTGGTGTTGGGGAGAGAGCACTGAGGAACTGGACACACTTCCCTGCTTGGCTTGCTGGGGCAGGAGGAAGGAGACAGCTTTGGGGTCTTCTTCTCCCCTGATCCAGTGTTAATGGAGTGACAGAGTGGAAGAGGACCCCAAGGAGCAGAGGACAAAAGAGGCAGGTCACCCCAGGCTGAGCTGACAGACATTTGCCTAGACACACGGCAGGGGGCCAGAGGATGCTCACATTTTTGCTTATGTACCTTCCAGGGGCGAGGCAGGGATGGAGACCAAAGCAGAGCCTGTGCTCCTAAATGGAACTCTCTCTGCTCTTCAAACTCCCTAACCCAGGCTCTGCTGGAGAGGGGAGGAATGGGTTTAGACCACCATCACCTTCCCCACCACCCTTCAAGTCACCCGTGGCAAGATCCAGCCAGCTCCAGGCCTTCGTCTCTCCATCTATTAAATAGGAACACTGAAGCCTCGTGCATCGAGTCTGGGGGCCCCCTGGACAAGATGAGAGCTGGGAGCTTACAGAAGGCCCAGGGAGAAGAAGGTGGGGAGGTACTGCGCCCCTGAACATTCTCTATGGAATCTCAAATTCTGTCCTGGCCTTTCCCCATATCCTCCCCCCCCCTTTTCTCCCCATGCTCTATCATGCTAACTGAGAGAGCCCTTGCTGGCCCTGAGGAGTGCTGGACAGGTAGAGTGAGAAAACCAAACCCTTGAGCCTCCCAGAAAAAGTGTTTCAGAAAAAGTGGTGTGAACAAAGGTACACAGGGAACTCAGGGCGTGATCCGCAGGAATTCTGTGAGAGGAGAGTGACCCCACTTCTCGTGCCCTTCCTCACCCTCCTGCCACCTCCAGAGTTCTCTAGTTCCATTTTGGGGACCCACTCAAGTCCTCTTCCTCAGGCCTGAGAAGGGCTTCCAGTTACACATCCTGCCTGCCCACCAAACGTACTACCACCAAGCTGATTCTGACTCAGAACCACCCTCCACAGAGCTTCGAGGCTGTTAGTCTTTATGGGAGGGGATTGCTTCCCTTTCTCCCTTGGAGCAGCTAGTGGATGCCAATGGCCACTCTTACAGTCACACATAGCTCACTACCCAACCAGAGCGCCTTCACAGTCCTGCCTGTTTCCTGGTCACTGAGAAGCCCACACCTTCCAGGCAGGGCTGACTGGGTGGGAATTGTTCTGTGAGTGCCTGTCTGAAGCACGAAGAGCTTGTGGATTCTAAATGAATTAGGTGGGACTGCCCCACTGCCTCCTCACACCCCTGTCCAGGCTCACCCTGCCTCGCTCCTCTTCACTGCGTGTCCCTCCCCTCTGAGAAAGATGCTGCCCCAGGGGGGATGCCTGGCCCCAAGCTCTGCTCCTTACAGGTGTTTCCTCCCTACCAGAGGTCTGGCAGCCAATGCCAGGCTTCACTTGACTTACCTGCCCAGGCTGCAATCTGTTTTGTGGACTGTCTTGCTGAATCGTCCTTTCCCCAAGCGAGGCTGTATGTGGTGCTGAAAGAGAATTCTTCTAAAAAGCATAAGTCTCGGCCCTTCCCGCCCCTTCCCTTTCCTCAGAAAGTGGCCCATTCCTTTCTCTGGAATATATTTCTCCAATATACTTTCCTTTATCTTTACTTTCACCTCCACTCTTGTCTCCTCACCTTTCTTTTCAGCAAGTCACATGTTCCTGACTTTGACAGCTTTTGTGTTTGTGGGCCTCTCATCACTATAACGCCTTAAAGATCAGTGGCTCTTTTAAGAGCCACAAAAATTGCTGCACACTCTCTGGTGCCCCCATGGCACTGACCTCCTTGTTATCCCTGACCTGGCTCAATTCTTTGACCAGCAAGTGGGACCAAAGGCAGAGCACTCATCACACAATAAAAAGAAAAGAAAAAGTATGCATCTCATACACAGAAAAAAAAGAATTAACTTTCAAAGATTTTATTTAAGATGCACCGGGGACATTGGCAAACAATAAGGGTGCAAGAGTTGATGGGATAACAATTGGCATGTTTCAACTAGCAGATGCAACCCTGGACATGCTCACCAGTCTGTGCTAGAAAATTTGGAAAACAGCTACATGGTTACCTAACTGGAAAAGATCCATATTTTCTACCAAGAAAAGCGATCCACTGAAATGTGGAAATTATCAAACAATGTCATTAATGTCACATGCAAACACAATATTGCTGAAAAATCATCTAAAAATGGCTAGAACAGCACATTTACAGAGACCTGCCAGAAGTTCCAAGTTGGGTTTAGAAGAGGCCGTAGTGCCAGGGTTATCACTGCTGATGTCAGATGGATCCTGGTTGAAAGCAGGGAATACCAAAAGAATATCTATTTGTGTTTTATTGACTATACAGGCATCTGATTGCTTCTTCTCCTAAGAAACACCAAATGGCGGATGAAGCTGGTGCAGTGGGAGGCCCCAGAGGTCCTGGGAGCCCTGGGATGGGAGTCTACAGTGGTCTCTGCAGAGGCTTCGACAGTGGTCAGGGCGTGGATGAGGCCGTGGGAGGGGCTGCGGAGCTCTAAGAGGCTGCCTATCACCAAGCTGTGCCGTCTGGTCAAAGATACGAAGATCAAATCCTTGGAGATTTATCTCTTCCCACTGCCCATCCAGGAGTCTGAGATCATTTCACTTTTTCCTGGGGATGTCCCTCAAGGATGAGCTCTTGAAAACTATGCCTGTGCAGAGGCAGACACGTGCCGGCCAGAGGACCAGGTTCAAGACCTATGTCGCCATTGGAGACTATAATGGCCGTGTTGGCTTGGGCATCAAGTGCTTCAGGAGGTGGCTCCTGCCATCCGTGGGGCCATTATCC